GAAGGGAAGGGAAGGGAAGGGAAGGGAAGGGAAGGGAAGGGAAGGGAAGGGAAACCTCACCACGGATCATTCAACTAGACCTAACCTGCTTTTTAGGTAAACTTAGGAGTAAGAGTTCAGGAACGTATGCTAAATAAAACTGCACCATGCTTTATGAACATATTCCCATTCTTATTTAAATTAAGAAGTGATGAAGGAAAAGTACATTTATGTAATTCTGATTACCTAGTTATAGCATACAAACCAGCCTTTTTAGAGCAGATACTAGAGACAGCTTAAATGTAAGACCCAAACAGAGGTCCCCAGCTCTAAGAGGGACCCATATTAGTAGTGTTTCTGATGCTTACCACAATCAATAGCAAGATCATTACCAATGAATCACTTTGCTAACTGATGAACTCCAGAGGTTCCCAGCAGAGTTCAGGATTGAAAGCTCAGAGGGATGCAGCCCAGAGATGCATGTTATAAACTTTCCATGGACCACCAGCAATTTCAAGGACAAATCAGCATTTTAATGCAAAACAATGGAAAGGTAATACAAACGGGAAGTCAAAATGGTAGTGATTTGTATAACACTGGGAAAATATTTTTTTCTTTGATATGATGCCTCTGATCACTTGTGAAGAAAATGTGCTTTACTGAATGCAGTTTGGAAGTTCTGGGTTTCAAGTAGTGAGAAGCATGTTTGATTTGGGAAACATTTGTAAGTTAGTCTTTCTCTGTTTGCTGTTTTAAAAAGCCACTTAGCCTCCCTACCTCTGCTTTCCTAGCTGTGTGTTTTATGAAATGCAACTCATCCTGCAGATCTATTTTAAGGACTGTTAGCTTGTTCTGTTAATATCTGCCAAGGGATCTGGCTAAAGAAAACAGAGGGTAAATATACAATGTAACCATAATTTCCCAACAGAACTTGCAAGTACTTGCAATTTTTAGGTACACTCTAGAACCACAATGGCTCACAAAAACATGAGTGTTTCTGTTAGAAAGCTAAAAAACTAGACAGAAAAACTTGTCTTAAATAACGTATTTGTCAGGTGTCACCTAGATTTAAGCAATACCTCTTGGGCTACGACAACTCCTGCAGCTGAGTTGGGAGAGGGAAGAGGTGAATGGTTAAACTTCGATTCTTCTCACCCTGAAGTTTTCAATAGGGGTGTGGTATTTTTCTAAAGGAGCTGCCTTAACTGGTTTTCTAGGCTATGAGAGAGAATGAGGATTTGAAACTAATTTTACAAGTTATCTCTCATTTGATTAGGAAACCTCAGACACATTTCAAGAACTGCATTCCCATATTTACACATGTATTTACATTCTAGCTCAAACCCGTAGGCCTGAAGACCATTAATATAGTTAATGGACTATTTAATGCTAAGGGGGGATGGCAACAGAGTGTTCCAGAGCTGACTACAGGCTTGGATCAACTTCAAGCCATTTACTGTCAAGTGATATGGAAAAAATGACCATTAGAAATCTGACTATAGTTTGTCTTCTGATCTAATTCCTTCCGAAAGACAAGGTGTTGGCTGACTGAAGGAGAACTTGCTACTGAAGGAGAAATCTGCTCATGACTCATTTGTATGCACATGGCATAACATTAACTGTGCCACTTCAGTAGAAGTTTGAAGGCTGAATACATTTAGAAGCCTGACCCTTGTAGAGGAGATTTCAGATAACTAACTTAGTAGGCCCCCTTCTTTAACTGCATTTCCCAGTTGGACTGGGTGCTCCCAAGGTGTAAAACTGATTCTGCTTCTCATCTGGACCACATGCCACCCAGTAGATACATTAATTTTCTTCATTTTACATGGTACATTTGACTTGCTTTTATTTGTGACAGAAAATCTCTCAGACCACACAAAAGGGAGAGGTACTGTCCTAGGAGTGCTGGTCAAAACAAAGAGGGATAACACATCTGCCATTTTAGGTGCATTTACAACAAAGTATTTGTGTGGGCAGCTGTTCAAGAGAATACTCTATTAATAACATCTTTTACTAGAATTAAATGGAATTTCTTGCATTGGTATCTAGAAGTGGTTTGCAGGGGATCTGAAGGAGAAATATTAGAAATGGTGGCAATACTCATTGGGATCAATAACACATACAAGATCATACAATTACTAAACACTACAACACTGAACTGTCATCCCAGAGTCTGCGACAGCTGATAAACCTTAAAACAACAGAAAACTGGAGAAATCATGTCCGGATTCATGTCTCTCCAAACTCCCTCTGAAAATAGGCTCAGCTGTCATAGATGGTCAAATCACCAAGTCAAAAAGACTTGAATACTTTTTGATGCAGAAAACATCTGAGTCGATCATGAATCATACCATCCCAATAGAGCTTGGCCAGAGCCCAAACCCTAATTGGTGGGAATCACTTAACACATTTTTAAAACAAGCCTCTTAAAAACAACAGTTATAAACAAGAAACCTTAGGATTACAAACCAATTGAACCAGCAAATAATTGAATCCTTCCGAAGTTTCTGTCAAGCCAGAGATTCTTCAAACACAGCAAACTTCTTGAATTCTCTGCTGGAGTACTTCTGTAATAATAATAATAATTAGAAGGAACCACAAGACTGGAAATCTGGATAAAAAACCCTCAGAAACATATGAGTAGTTAGGAAATAAAGAAGAACAAGATCCTGAAGAGACACGTGCCTTGCAGATAATCACACAGAGATAGGAAAACACATGAAAGCCAGCTGCAAACACCACAAAAACACCCCAACAACAATTCTCATCACAAAAATCTGAAGACTCATACAACAAAATCAACTCATCAACAAGAAGTGCTTGAAGGGGTTAAGACAACCTTCCCAAAGCATTCATCCAACATTAACAACAATCACCATCTATCAGCATTATTTATAAAAATTAAAAATAACAAAGGTTATAAAGTCAATACTAACAATTCATTAAACTTTGAATCATTGGGGAATCAACTGATGACCCCACAACAGGATCTGATTGACATTTCCCAAATGCTCTGTCTTCCAAAACACCTCAGGTAATTGAATCATTACTAACACTTTCATCTTTACATGATGGTTTCCCTCCCTGAGAGGCATTTTTCACAATGTAAGATTTCTATCTATATCATATTTAGAATAACATTGACTCGCATAGGGTTCTCTTTTTTCCTGTGTCTTGTGCAAAGACTTGGTGCTTTCTCACTTTTCTGATGAAGATTCTGTGGACCTGGCCTGTGGAAGAGTTAGGTGAAGCGCCCCATATAATATCTGCTGCATTTTCTGTGGAGTTGCCCTGTTAAAAAACTGGATAAAGCACTGTGAGAGTTCTCAGAAGTTTTCCATCTTGCCCTTGAAGGAGTTTCCTGACCTGATTTTTTTTTTCCCAAACGCCTGCTCGGAGTGCTGCAAAGTGCTGGCTGCTACGGTTGCCTGGCAACTGTGACAGGGCGGTGCTTTGAGAAACGTCTGACATGCCCCGTCTCCGCCTGCTCTGGGACAGCCTCAGCCTGCGTCATCTCGGGGATGGGGAAAGGAACGTCCTCGCCCTGGCCGCGCCCCGCTTTCACCGGCTTTGAAGCAGCCGCGCCCTTGGGAACGCCCCCCTCCTCCCCGGGATCATCCACGCTGTCCGGGTCCCATTCGGGATCCGCCTTGCCTGGACCCGCGCAGCCCCCATCTCAACTGGGGACTGTCCCCCCCTGGCTCCGCGCCAACACCCGCACCCGGCGGGAGCATCTCCCACACTACCGGTGCCCCTGCCGTGCTCGCGAAAGGTGAAAAAGCCTTTCTCGCTCCGGCTTCCGAGTTTTGCGACATCAACGCGCGTCCGTTGTGTCTCGCCGCCGCCGCGGCTCCGCGCTCCGCTCGGCCCGGCTCCGCTCGGCCCTGCCCCCGCAGCCGCCGAGCACTCCCCAGACGGCTGGGCGCTGCCCGCCACTGCCGCCGCCATCGCGCGCACCCTCGCTGCCGCGCGCGTCATCGCCGCCACCTCGGCCGCTCCCACGGCCCCTCCCGGCGCCACCGCTTTTGGTGCTGCCCTGAGCCACCGCTTGCAGCTCGCTCCGGCCGCCCTGGCAGCCCCTCCCGCCGCCGCCGCGGCCGTCCCAGGCTGCTGCCGGCTGTCCGGTGCTGCCGTCACCATCGCGGGACCCCCAGGCGCCCCCGCGGCCGCTGCGCGCCACCCGGGCTGCTGCTGACTGCCTGTCACTGCCTCGGCATGGTCGAAATGCAGCTTCCCCTCGGGCCCCGCGACTTCCTCCATCCCCCGCCCCGATGGTCCCGCCGTCGCCTCCCTGGCTTCTGCCGCTCTCATGTCCCCCG